GGCTTGGAGGCACATGCCTGTAGTCCCAACTACTTGGGAGGCTGGGATGAGGTGGGAGAATCACCTGAGCCTGGGAGGTTGAGGTTGCAGTGAAACATAATGGCACCACTGTACTCCAGCCTGGGGGACAGAGCAAGAACATGTCTTACAAAAATAAAAGAAAAAGAAAAGAAAGAAATTAGAAGAAGAAAGAAGAAGGAAGAAGGAGGAGGAAGAAGGAAGAAAGAGGGAATAAAAACAAACGGTGAGGGGGCGGGGAAGAGGAGGAGAAGGAGAAGAAGAGTTTGTCCTTTGTCGGGTTTGCAAGGGTGTGAGGGAACATGTTCCTGATCATTGCTGACAAAGGGTGAACCCCTCAGGAGAGTTTTGAGAACCTTAGTAAAAGTATAATGTACATATCTTTTGAACCAGCAATTATATTTCCAGGGAAATCCAAATAAATCATGCAAACCTACAAATATGTAGAAATGGCAGTTGGAAGAATATTTGCTGCTTAAAGAAATTTAATTTTAGGTGCAAGGCAGCTTCTAAATTTGGGTGCATCAATGAACTCAATGTCTAGGTTTGTCTTGTTTCTACAATATATGGCTATAAAAACCTTCCGGATCACGAAAATAAAAGCACAGATAAACAATTAAAATATTGACACTCATGAGTCCAAGTCCGAAATTAGAATATCTGCAGAAGCAATCTGATTCACATAAACCTTTTTTTAAAAAAAAAAACAACATAAATCCTATCTACCTGGCTCTTGCCCTGACCGGCGGGAGAGAAACTTACGTTGACAAACCTGGAACAACGTTGGACCAAAGACTCTTCAAGAACAGCAAAAACGCGTTATGGAGACCCAGTCCCTCGTTGGGTCCAGTACCGCGCTTTCGGACTGTCAGTAGGTCACTCCGGGAGGGAAGGCTCCCCTACCTCAGGTACTGAGCATGCGGGAAACTCCGCGCAGGCGCACAACGGAGACTTCCCACTGCCTCTTCAGACTCCCGATCTGCGGGAAAATTCCACTTGTCCGTGTTTTCTCCAAGCTCTCCGTAGATGCGAGTCACCTGTTGCATTAAATATATGCATTAAATACAAACTTTTAAAGATTGGCTTAAAAAAAAAAAAAGGAAAGAAAACAGTAGTCCAGCAACAATGTGTTCAAGAAAAAAAAGAGATTGGCTTTGGTTTCAGCTGTCTTCCAGCCCACTTCGTAGAGTTCACTGTTTTAAAATGTTCATTGTATTAGTTGGCTCTGCGGCTGTTTAACTTTAAACCCCTAGCGGCCACACACACCTCCACCTCCTGTGTTAAAGATGCATGGCTACTTTTTTTTTTTTTTTTTTTTT